CATGTTTGTTGTGCAGATTCACGGACAACGAGTTTCACCCGTCTCACATCTCCACCATCGGTAAGACCCTGTCCTTCATTTCTCCCATGCATTTGTGTTTTTTTTCCCCCCCCCCCCCCCCTTGTGGTCCCTGGTTGTTCTATACATACATTATTATATCAGGAGGATGTGTCATAATTTAATTAGAGACGTGGTTGCATTTGGTTAAGGAAATCCTGAGGGGGGAGATCCAACACTTGGCTGCCACCCCCATGAGTTTAATAACTATCAGTACTTGGCTCTGACTTTCGCATGCATTACAGGGGGGGGGGGGGCTGCAGTCTGGGTCCCCTGGTGTGGGGCCCTGGATCAGAGAGATTCATTTTGTTGTTGCTATTTCCTCAAACTATTATAACAACAATAAAATCTAGATACAGCGATTCTGCAATAATCGATAGATTGCAAGACAATCACATGAGGACGCATCACGATATCTGTCTACCTGAAGCATGCAAAATAAAGAATCAGGTTTTACTGCCAAGCAGGTAGGTAAACACTGGAGACTGGATTGTGCAATGAGGTAAAGTGCAGGATTTCTGTATTTATTCACTGCAATTTGGTGTCAGTTTTACACAGTTAGACACAAACTAAGTTAAAACAATGAACATAAACATCAAGTCTTATGTTAGTGCCTCTTTAGTCTTTAACTAACACACTGTGACTTGTCGGTGTCCACATGTGACATCATTCCAATGTCAATTGGCAAAGAAATCTGTTTGAGGGTAAAATTTGTGAACGGGAGGCAAAGGTTCACCACTGAAACATTCCCTCTGATCCAGAACGGTCAGGCTCTAATATTTATGTGATGATCTGTACTTTGCAAGGTTGATTTTTTTTTTTTTTTTACATATCCAGCCTCTTCCTTATTTGTAGAACACATTTGAAAGTAGCCCTGGAAATGGAATGAGCAAAGCTAAACCAGCCTCTCTGCTCACAGTTCTGTGAATATCTCTGTGCACAGTTTGGATTCAGAGTGTGGACCATGACAGACACATTACCATGCTTCACTTTGAGGTTAGGGAAATGAGGATGTACAGTTAACGGTGAAGTCTTATCTTCTGTATAGCACCTGGTCTGTGTGTGTGTGTGTGTTCACTAAATAGACATTTTCTCAGAGGATGCTCCTATTTTCTGTAAAAGCTTGTACTTCCGTCTCATTATATGGAGAAAACTAAATTCAGAAATCCCTGCAGCTCGATAAGAATTTAAAAGTCAGGAAAGGAAATGTTCATTCTGCTTGTGATGACGACATCAACAACTGACTTTTTATTGAAAAGTAATAAGGTCAAGAGAATGAATCATCCATCCATTGTCTGCACAGCTTATCCTTGGAGGGTTGCACAGAGGCTGGAGCCAATCCCTGCAGACTTTGTGCGAGAGGCCGGGTGCACAGGTTGCCAGCGTAGCACAGGGTGGACTCTGCTTTCAGACATGCACTGAACTCTGGACTTCTCCTGAAATACAAATATCTCAGGGTGTGAAAAAGGAACCATACACGTTGAAGACGCTGACGAAGATGTCAACTAGGAAAGACGAGATTCTAGAACCAAGGACCGACACCGGTGTTGATGTGCTTTGAATGAAAACATGTGATTTATACAGCATAATCTATACGTCATCCCCTGCCCCCTGGCATCATCCTTCGCCTGGATGTTCTGGAGCTTTCCCTGTTGTTGTGGACGGGTCTGACGAACCCTTGAACATGTCCAGACCCAAGTTTTCTCGACATTTGTGGGAGTTCATGTCTGTAAATGGCTCTATAGACAAAAACATTCAACCCTACAGGAAATGTAGAGTCTCCAATTAACGAAAGCTGCGTGTCTTTAGAAAATCCACGCCACCTACAACTCTGCACATCAAGGCACACGTTGGCCTTTAGGTTCGGACCCAGAGCCTTCTTCCTGTGAGACGACAGTGCTGCTCACAAGTGATAATACAACTTTCTGTGAAGATCTAAAAGCAACAACGACATTATTCAGTCATCACTTTTGACCCTTGATGTGTTCACATGGATGTTTTAATAGTAAAATCAAAGCATCTATAAGTAAAACCTCATCACACTGAACCTCACCTGCTGTAGCAAGTTGTGATGCTCACGTTCTTATAGAAACTGCAGCGTGCTATTTTAAGTCATTCGCCTATAGCGCCCTAAAGTAAAGTTTCGCAGTGTAGAGACGTGCTCATGCTGTAAACAGCAAACCTTTCTGATTTCTCTCAGAGGAAACATTCAGCCTGTGTGTGCATGTTGGAAACACCAGCAGGCACTGATCTTTTTCTTCTTTTGTTGTCGTAGTTTGCAGCATCTACACAACCACCGATGCTTACAAATCAGGCTCTTGCAGCCGTGAAGGCATTTAGTCGGGATTGAATAGTTGGAGGAAGCAGACTGTGTCTAAGAGCCACGCTGGGAGGTCTTTTATGAAATAAGTCAAATCCCCTCAGACTAAACAAACCTAACCGAGTTGGGAGATCAAGAGTGACCACCGTCAGTGCTCTCATGTGGCGGATCAATAAATAATTTCCTAACCTTCACGGTGATAGAGGGATATAAATTCTCTCCCATGTCCCCCTCGTGTGCAGCTCCATTATTCATCAGTTCCTGTTACAGTCCACTCACTCGCTTTTTTGCTCGTAATTATCTCAAAAACTGTGTAAGAGTAAAAAACCAAAGGCTTCAAACAATGGGAGCTCCCACTGAACAGTGTGGTGATGAATAGAGGCTCATACAGTACGTGGACACGCAAACCTTATTTGGTTTTTGAGCAACATTTTCCAGAACCATTGGTATTCATGCTGCTGGAGCTTCCCCCAGCCTCCGAGGAAAACTTCCCATGAGATATCAGACCCTGGCTGCAGGGATTTGTTCCCATTCAGACTCGAGAACATTAGCGAGGCCTGACACTGATGTTGTAGAGATGAGGGAGAACAAAGGGTACAACTTCATTCACTGGTTCCAGCTCAGTGTAAAATAAAAGCTCAAAGAATAAAACTCAAACTGACATCACTACCAGCTCTTAATATTCCCTCGCTCTTCAGAAATCCTGTTTTATTTAAGCGGGTCACCTTGTTCCTCGTAAGATTGTCATCTGAGCCGGGAAACACACACGTCTCCGGCAAAGAGCAGCTGATTTAGTGACGCTGCTCAGTCACACCACTGAGTTTCATCTTCTTCACTGTCGCCAGACTCTTCAGAAGCGCTGGCTGTCACAGAACCTATGAAGTATGACTGTGGCCCTGCTCTATATCACAGCCCAATATGCAGCCAGTGGTGTTATGATGACTCCCAACTGTTTAGTGTGGTTTGGGATTCATGTGTGTTATGTTAGTGGTGAGTTGTGAAAGTTAAATTGTTCAGTACAGATTGATGACGAGTTCATAATTGGAAAACAAAATGTTTTGTCCTCCTGCTGTGGTCTGAAGACAGCTGTCCTCAGCTAGTCATGATGAAGAAAAGACCTTTTCTCCAGTGAGTTGTGTCTTTACTGAGTCCATCACCTACGACACACTGACACGTGTCCCCGCCTGATCCGTCCTGCACAGACGAACAATTAGTAATTAGCCGAGTCAGTTTGGGGTGTGTACCCATTAGGTTTTACATGACTTTCACACAGCTGATTGTGAAATGCTACAATGTTTAATTAACTGCTGCCTCGTCATCCTCATTGTCGCAGAAGAAGAAGAAGAAGATGGAGAGTGGCTTGGTTTTTTCAAGCTGCTGAATGTTTCTTAAAACTGGACAAATGCAAAGGCCCTCAACAGTGGAATGAGTTGGACGGTTCGGTGTCTTGGACAGAGAGAAATGTTTCCTCTTTCAATCCCACTCTTCACTCTGAACGTCCACTCTTGGTCTATGTAACGTTAAGAGGTCATTAAAAACCAGCGTTTATCTCCGATATAAACCAAGAAACTTTTGAAATATGAAGAAGCTAGCTGTCATGTCATCCAGAGTTTAATACGGAGCTAATGCAGCTGATCGATGGCGCTGGGAGACGGCCTCAGTTTCATTAGCCTCCTCTCTCCTCTCCAGCCTCGGGCAAGTCGAGCCGCTGATTGCTATGCTGACCTTTTTACTTAGTCCTGGTCTGAATGGTCTCGAGTAAAAAAGGCAAAGGTCTCCTCATGACTTACATGAGGCCTCGCTGTCGAGTCCGTGAGCTCGAAACTCTGTGGAGTGTTTCCTCGACTCCAGCTCGTCCTGAGCAAACGCAGCCAGGCCATCTATAGTGCGCCCGTTAGCTGAGTATAGACTGTGCAGAAATGCAGCAAAAGAAACCACAGGCAGCAGTTCTTCCAGTTCTGTGAATTGATTGGACTCTGGGGCTCTCACTCTCTCTCTCTCTCTCTTTCTCTCTCTCTCTCTCTCTCTCTCAGTGCGGAGCTGGCTGTGAAACATGGCTGCTGCTGAGTATCCCATTAATTGGGATGAGCTGTTAATTGATTTCTCAGGGATTAGTGTGGGTCTGTTGAATCTGGAGGGTTTTTGCTTATTTATTGACTTGAGGTGGGGAGAAGAGACGATGAGGAAAAAAAAAGAACGTATCGTATCATTATTTAGGATTAGGATTAACCCTAGGTCCCTTGAGAGAATACAGGTTTCAGGCACTTCTGCATCGGCATCACTTTCTGGACCCAGAGTCTAGATCTAGTTTGTTTACAATAACAGGACAACACCAGTAAGGACCACAATTTAACATGAGCACACGGACATTCATATCAGTTCTGTCCTTGAAAAGTGAGTGAGGGGCGAGTCTTTATAGAAACAAAGAATAGTCCGTGTGTGATTTTCTTTCATATGAACAATTTCACACTGAGTCATCTGAAATAAGTGAGAGATCCCTGAAGCGAGAGCGACTTCTCGCTTAGCCCTCTCCCCTTCTCAGCCCTGCTTCTTTCTGCTCGTCTGCTCGCAACCTCCTCCCTCCTTTCACCTCCCGTGTGATCGATGCAAAGGACTAAACGAGGAGGACTCGGCTCAGCGGATCATTAGTCTATTCGTCTAACAGGCTGATTATACAGGGATGATGTGGCTCTCGTTGTGTTAAGGCCTTCTATGATGTTACAAAGCTGCAGCGGACACCTCTGACCCTTCGTCTGTGACGGACAGGACGGGGTTATTGATTCCAGTCACTTCTTGGGTTTAAAAGTTCACACGTCTCTGTGAATATCCAGAACATATAGCTTCAGCAACTCAATGGTTTGGAGAAATGTCTAACACAGAATATTGTGTTCTCTGATCGTATCTTCTCTCTCTCTCTCTCACAGGCGTCGACTTCAAAATGAAGACACTACTAATAGATGGTATCAAAGTACGGACACAGATATGGTGAGATATTACAAGGTTGGACGTCCTGTACGTGAGATAAAATGTTATTAGATTTCAACAGTCCAATATTTATTTACAACAATCGTAGCTTATGTTTGTTTGACCGATCACTTTCAGAGCTGTAGCTCTAAACTCTGAATCTTTCCTGAGAAATGATGAGCGTTTTGTAAACTGTGTTTAAATGTGTTTGTTTGTTCAGGGACACTGCCGGCCAGGAGAGATACCAAACCATCACGAAGCAGTACTACAGACGAGCACAGGTATTTGACCTCATGTCTCCTCCATTTATTATGTACTATTGACACACCTTGATATGACTACGCAGTCGTGTACACATTAAGTTCATTACAGCTAAAAGATTAATCAAACCAAATATTTAGCACTTAATTTACTCAGTAAACCATTTAGCTCTATTAAGCTTTAAGTTAGAAGCTTCATAGCATCATTATTGAAATATAATGTGGTCAGTGTTATTATAATGTCTCTGTTCCCACATCCCCCGCTAAAGGTTGATGCAGCTCGCTCTCGGCAGCCGTGCGACCACTGCCACTCTGGCGTAGCTGCCCTGAGCTGCTAAAGAGATTAAACTGGTTGAAACCCAATTGTCCATTTACCAGAAATGGCAATGAAAGTGGAATAAAAGTTCCAGCTCATCCAGCCGGCGGCTCACAGTGTATAAATGCATCATTTCCAATTTTCCAACTGGTGGTCTGGTTAGTTTTAGGGTTATCATATCAGTGTTTCAAAATGTACTGATCTTAAAAATACTGCTTTTGAGGCTGAAGAAACCGAGAACATGTGTTTTTCTAAAAAAATCTTTTTCAACTCCTCCGCTCAGGGAATCTTCCTGGTGTACGATATCACGAGTGAGCGATCCTTCCAGCACATCATGAAATGGGCCAGCGATGTGGACGAGGTGAGTCATGGAGATCTGGGGATTTAAAAATTAGATCAATCAGACGCGGTGGAGAATCAACAAGTGTTTCTTTCCCTCCGCGTTGTGAAAAGGGCAAAACTGACAAAACTACAGACGCCGAGTTGACAAAGAACAGATGTCTGACAGGGTGTGATAAAAACCAAATGCTTTGACCTGGCATTTACGCTGCATTTATTGTGTTCAGGCTTCATTCTCAAATACCTGTCATCGTTTTATGAAATGTGTTGTCATAAATATCGGAGGAGAAAATTCTTTCCTCTTGCAGTAATTTTGTGTTCTGGCTTGGAGTCTCCAGAAAGCTCTTCCCTGCTTCCCTCTGTCGTTCTCAGGACGATGTTATTCTATTAATTTAATAATTATGGACCTCATTTCCTCTGTGTGTTTATCTGAATATATACACACACATGCTTTCCACTTATCTTTAATCTAAGTGTCATTTCCTGAGCACCGTGGCTCCTGTGTTTTCTCCGGTCTGTGTTCTCTTGACATTTGAAATTTGTCTCCCTCTCCTTCCATCTGTTTAATTTTGTTTTTCACGTTCACGTGGCAAACCCCTGCAGTACGCTCCTGAAAAGGTCCAGAAGATCCTCGTAGGGAACAAGTCAGACGAGGTGGACAAACGGCAGGTGGCCACAGAGCAAGGTATCAAGGTGAGGTGATGGTGTAAATACTTAAAATCTTTTAGAATATGTCTCCTTTAAATCCATAACCAAGCTCTAACGGCTGTGATGCACCAATCTGACCTGAAGGAACCAGTGCAGACAAAGAGTGACGAACGCTTCACCTCACGTTGCCTCACATCTGTCAATAAAAGCTGCACTTGAACACACCACTGTAGCTGAGCGCCAGCAGACAGTCGTGCATATGTCATCTGTCTGTGCTCCTAAATCAAAAAGACAAGCAGACGGAAAGCTTTTCGTTTTTTATCCAGACATCTGTGTTGTCTTGTCTTGCAGTTGGCTAAGGCTTATGGAATGGACTTCTTCGAGACAAGTGCCTTCACCAACCACAACATAGCAGAGGTGAGGTGAATGTGCGGAGCCTCAGTCAGGATATTTCACGACCATGTCAGTAACAAAATCAGAGCAGCGCTGCGGTCAGAATTACAGAATGTGAGGAAATGACAGTGCAGCTAATCTCGCCACCTTTCTCCTCCCAAGACTTTCACCAGATTGTCTGAACAGGTGCTGGCGGCCAATAAAAGAGACCTGGATCTTCTCCGGATGTCGGCCAATGACGAGCTGGACCTTACCGCTCTCGAGGAAGAGGAGGGACTCTGTGACAGTGCTGCGGACGATCAACGCAAAGGCTGCTGGTGTTAAAGTGACCGTGTGGACAGCGTGTTTTTTTTTTTTTTTGGTTGAATATACGTCATCGCCACACACTTTGGACACTCTTGGAAAAAATGTCCTTTTGTAATTGGCTTCCGTGGGTCCCTCTGTTTTTCGCAGCGTCAGTTTCAAGGACATACCTTTTGCCACAAAGTGCCAAGTGTGTGGTGAATCAACCAAGTGAAGGTCCACGTGTCCAGGTTTCACCTCGGGGGCTCAGAAAGCTCATTATTTTTAAAAGCACCAGTTCCTGCTCAGCGTATCTTTGATGTAACCAAATACAATCTTCTGTCCACTAAAAAATTCAGCGGCAAACATACGGTTAAAAAGCCGAAATACAAAACGTCTAGATGAGCTGCAAACCTTCATCTTGTCTTCAGAATTTACACGGAAGTAGAGGATGTGTAGAGGATAGGGAATGACTTGAAACTGTTCACCACTGACTTGAAGTTGTTTTTCACAATGCTCTCTTCGATATGCCTTGCAAACCGACTGCATTCGGCCTTCCTCCGGCCCTTTAGTGTTTCTCCCTCATAGCCTTTCCACCAACTGAATGCATTAGATGTAGTGTAAGGAAACTACCACAAGAGGGTGCTACGCTAATTGCAGAAATGTCTCCGTGTCCAGTGTGACGTTATACCAGTGCACTGATTCTTCTTCTCTCATGTTTTTGACCTCGGTTACACTTGAAGTGGCTACTTTGAACAGCGCGAAAGGATAATTAATATATGCAGCCATTGTATTGTTTTGCATGATGTTTACATGTTGATGTCGGTGACACAGGCAGTTTGTAAAATCTCACACGCAAGAGGCCACAAGGCGACGAGAGGCGGGAGAAGTATTTCATTTCTCTGTAGCATAACTGAGGATAATTTTGAAGTTTGTAGTCTCAGAAAATATTGGTTGGGTTGTTTGATAACTGCACATCACTGCATTGTACATACCAGGTTTTTCACAGCATTGTAGATGAGGATGCATAATTTATCATTAGAGGGCTGTATTTAAAAAAGTAAAAATTCTGCAGTGGTATTCTAGATGGTATGAGATATTCCCTCTGTGAATATAATCACATCTTGGTCATTCTGTCTTCTCTGTTTTATACAGAGTCCGGTGAAGATGCCATTTCTCTTCTTTTATCCCCCATCTCAGATTTAACAAGTGACAGTTCTGCATGTGATTCAATCGTCTTTCTTTCTGTTATTGCAACTTCAGTGAAGTTAATAATCAGCTGGCCACAAAGCAAGCATAGCATTTGACCAGAGTTGCCTGTTGGAGACTTGCACCCACAAGGAACCATCGTAGGAGAAACTTTGGCTTCCTTTTGCAGTGAAATGCAACTCGAAACAACAGTTTTATGTGAAATGACTGGACTGGATGCACAATCTGTGGTTCTCAAGAACTTCTTTACCCTCTTCTCTTTTAGACTAATTGTATTTGTGGAGATATATTACATGCCACATGTTATTCCTGGAGAAAAGATGTCAGATGTTTATGAATAAATACTTGCAGATAGATGACTCATGCCAGGGTGTCGTCTTTGGTTGTGCACTTCTTCATTTGGCCACTAGGTGACAGATTCAACCTGTTATCTCATTTTCCTGCAGAGTGTACTGCACTTACAATGTGTCATGGTGGGAAATGCACCATTTATAGTGTTATCTACAAAATATTTATAAATAAACTAGTCACAACTTATACATCTAATTGTCTGGTGGCCCCACATTCATAAATAGAAAGACTGCATGGTGGTTTCAGCTGAATTCAATACTCAACGTGCACTGAAACATTATAGTAACATAATGTGTGATAATCAGTCAGTGGTGGGGTTTTCTTTGTGAGGATTAGAGGAGAAAAAAGCTGTAAAGCTTTTGTTTGTCACCTCATCAGAGTTGTTAATGATGAGAACTCATTAAAGCTCTTTGGGTGAAATTAGCATAACGATGAATATGCATGTGGAACTGTTGTCTGGTTGACAGATATGACAGCTCAGTATCTGTCACAAGGCTGAGTGACACACGGACACACGTACAGAATAACAATCCAGCCCGCACACTGACACATAGCACCCACCCACACACACACAAATATATTTATATATATGTATGTATGTATACAAAAAGGGAATTCAGTGTTTTTGTTGTGAGCAGAGGCCAACAATCCTCATTTTCTGCAACACAATCCCCCAACACATTACTCCAGGTCTTGCAGCTGTCTGACATGCAGCCATATGGTGTTTGTGTGTGTGTACTTGTACTTACATATTTGCAAGGACCACTTTGAGCATAGACCTTACAGAGTGAGGACATTTTGGCCTGTTTGAGGGTTAAGACTAGGATAAGGGTCGTCACTGAGCTAGAAGTACAAATGTATGTGTTTGTGTGTGTGTGTGTGTGTGTGGTGATATAACTGTACCAGTGCGTGGGATTGTGGGAAGTAGAGAGAAAGCTGAAGCAGCTCTCAGATAAGAACAGGTATAGAAGACGGTGAGCAGGGTTCATTTACGGTCACATAAGAGATGGAGCTGAATCCCCCGGATATTTACATCACACAGGTTTTGATAATATAACTTCCAGCGTCAAAATAACATTGTCCAGGTTAACCACAGGCTTCTGTAACAAGGTTAAACAAGGATTTTTATATTGCCAGAAATAAAACTACAAATCCCATAACTGCACATCAGCAAAAAAAAAACTGTTGGTTTCTCCTGTTTATAAAAATGGATGACATTACAGCTCCCAAAGCGTCTTGATCGCCACCTGGTGGCTGGCTGTACACGCCACTGTTTGTTCAATTGTTCATGTTTCTGGTGATTTTGGTTTAATTAGTTATTTAATGCTGAAATGTCATGATTGACAGCTGTTTTATAGACGGGACCTCGCTGCCGTGGCTTATTTACAAATCGAGCAGACATGGAGCAAATCCCCCTTTTCAACTGATGCGGCTCTTTTAAACTTATCAGGGCCCAGTTTTATCATTTACATGGACCATTAAATTAACCATACTGAGAAAAGTGCCGCGTATATTTAGAGACACGATCGAGACAAACAAGTGCTTCCAGCTGCTTTTACCTGGGAGGTGACGTCAAGGCCAGCAGAGGCCCTCTCTGCACACCCACTCCTGATCCTGAAATACCTGCACGGCAACTCTGATTAACTGCTGTAGCACCCCGCCGAGCCAGACCCAGAAAACAACCCCCCCTCCCCTTCCACTTGGCTCTTCCACCATCATCACCAGAGCCTCTTTTCCAAATGGAGCTGTAGATTCATTGTGATGGCTAGCCAAAAAATCAGAGGAGAAAATAGACTCAAAATCACACATTCAGATGTAGCTGTGTAGGTGGAAGGTTGCTCCTGGAGACAGATCTGACGCTGAATCATTTTGTCCTCCATCTTTTCATGCCGCCTGTGGTTCCAATGTGCTTTTTCTAAAGCTACCTGTAATTCTGAAAACCACCTACTACCTCTTAAAGAAACACAAGCCGGACTTTCTTGTCTGTCATAAGTGTCATTTTTGTATTTTTATTTTCCTGAGCTCTGACTTACTTCAAAAAGAAAAAAGGGTGCTGTCAGAGGATGGATGAGAAAAGGATCGACATTAAAAGTCGGGTTAGAATTATCTTCAGGTTCATTATTTTCTCCATTCAATAAGAAATACTACGACCCACCGAATCGACTTATGTTAAAAAGAGAAAAACTTGATTACACTAAAGTTACACTCATTTGATTCATCCAGAAACATGTCTGCACATTTAAGCTAATTGTAATTTCTGGTTTGCGTAAATAAGGAACTGATGCAAAGAAACGTGAATGAAACATGATATGATGATAAAAATGTCAGTATTTTGTTTAAAGCTTGTTTCCCCAAAGTTGCCAAAATTGGGTTAACGCAGGTTCGAGTCCTTAGCAAACAGTTTAGATTTCAGCATCTACACCAACATGACAACTCTGCAGTTTTCATCTGCCAATGAAAACATCACGTCACATGATTCAAACGTCCAGAGCAGCTCCTCAATAGATTTGATTTGAGATTGTTTTGTTTGCATGACTCAAGAGCGCAGCTTGGATAACTATTTTTAAACACTTCCAAAGACGACACATTGCTCGTCGGAAGCACGGTGAAAAGTGTTTTTGTTGGTGAATCACTGCATCAGCACCTTGTCTCCGAGATCAAGCCTTAATCCTGCCTTCTTCCCTTTCAATCGCGTTAGAAACACTGAGGATGTGCACTGTTCTTGCATGAAAGAGGCGTGTATGGGAAGATTTCTGTTTGAAAATGAATCACACTTCCTTTCTGCTCTGTGCCATCATCATAGGAGCTGGAGCGGGGCCCAAGCAGGAGGTGGTGAACAAAATTTAATGCAGGCGTACATGCATATATATATAAGAGAGGGGCTCCACAGCATCTGAGGTGGGCACCTTTTCCTCAGCCCCCAAATCCTGTCAGAGCATATCCACACGGGGGGCTGGGGGGGGTCTTGCCTCTTCATACACCCAACCCACCAAATATGAAGTTGCAGATCAAAAACAATGCAAATCCAATGTCTCTCCAGGACAACAGGTTATTTCCAGTGTGGAAATGTTTGGTGTGTGTTTGTGCATGTGTGGTGGGGGCGGTCGGTGTGACTGCTGAGAGGCAGTGGAGGAGGAGGAATGTGTACATGTATATATATATATATATATATATATATATATATYTATATATATATATATATATATATATATGTATGTGCACGTGCCCCTATGTGTGTTCTTGAACGGGGTCCAACTCCATGGGTGCCGTGATGTCATCCTCCCACCTCGCTGTCTCTGCCGGTGTTTTCACACCAGCATGGGTCTCTCCTCAGGGTGTGTATACGGTGCCTAACGACATGTATTTTGAACTTGAATTCTGTCTCTGCCTCTTCAAACACATATTCTCTATAGGTTCCTGTTCTCCACAAAGGGGATGCTGGGATTGTGAGGCTGAACATTGGTTTTTGACGAGCAGCTCAGATTTTAATCCCCTGAGAAAGCATCTGCTTTGTTGTGATGAGCAGAGACAGAGAACAACATATATATATATATATATATATATACGTATACACTAGATATATTCATCTCTATTCATTCAGCTCTTCATACATATCTCAGATTGGAAATGGGAGCGTGCACAGTCATAACTAATATCCTCATGGGACAGAATCTAGGTCTGACAGAAACATCACAACCTTTTCACAAACTTGACTTCTACATAGTTGTTTTTGCAGCATAGGAAAAAATCAGATACAATTAGTGAAGAAGAGAACAGTTTTGCATGTGTAGTTGATTTTATGTCTCCCACTGCCAGATTGAAAATGAACCAGCGTGAGGATTTCAAACTTTCAACAGATTCATTCATCCTTGAACACTTGAAGCTGCAGCCATAAAATACACACACAGTAAATAATTGACCCTCTCTGTGCTGTGTTTGTTTCAGCAACTGTCATTCAACTTGGCGGACAGGAATTCAAGGAGTGTTCAAATAAAGCCGGTGGCACACGATTTGTAATGGAGATGTTTATTTGTCTTGCTCCAACCGTTTCCTACCAAGTAGGTCTGAGCCATAAGCCCCCAGGCAACAGCATACAAGCAGGTCTGATAATCCTCAACCTCTAACCCATCAACCATTTACAAACTCCAGAAAATGTCCTGGGTAGAGCAGGAGGAAACAAGACATGATGTATAAATCCTAGTGCTGATAATCAAGTGTTTTTGTCACCCGTGTTGGCCTCTTATCACCGAAAGTAAGATATCTCTTTTCCATCCTGAAATATTTTCCATCCGTCATGTTTTAGAAACGTCATCAACGTGCCCACTGCCCACTCCAGATATTTTCCTGCTGTATCCTCAAAGAGCTTTAACTAGGGAGCTACTGCCCCTCTGGAAAATGTCTATAGTTCAGTGCACGTCCGCATGCAGCTCTAATGAGTTTTGTGATCCTCAGATTTATTTTTCTTGCACCACCATGAGGTTGAATCTGTTTGACTGATTTCCATGAGAATTGGCTCTGACATCCAGGTCCCCATGCAGAATAAAGTGTAATAACGTTTTGACTATAGCAAAATCATTATGTCAAAACTTTCACTTGTCTTATTAAATACTTGAAACCGAAAAAAGAAAACTGCAAAACTAAAGACACTCCCATCTGTCTCAGCTGTCGGCATTCAAGATGGTGACTGTAGCATTTAGTTCATGTTGCCTCAGAAAGCTGCTGTTGTGCCTGTGATATTTGTATGACTTGGATTTCTCTTTTGTGCATTGGATGGTTGCACTTGTGAGTCTGTCTGGTGCAAGTGTCCAGTTCGATCAAAATCTCAATCAGCCATTGACAAGATGAAGAAAAGACAGAAAAAAGACGTCAATCTGCGAGTGTTTTCTCTTTCTTCTGAAAACAGCTGTTTCATGGACCATCATCCTTTGCTGTTCTCCTCCTCTGGCCTCTTTTAAAACTTCTCGCGCTCACTCAGCCGAGCGGACGGGCCTGCCAGTTTATCC